GATAGGAATCGAGGGTCTGGCGGGTGGTGGTAGAGGCAGAACGATGGAAGGGAGACTGTATAAGTTTTTCTTTTGTAATGCGGGTTTTCAGGTGGAAGTTTTCGTCTGTTTTTATTCTGGGCTGCTGAACTCGTCATGATTCAACACATAGATGCGTTTGGGCATGGTTCCGATCATTTAAGTAGGACGAGGCACTTGTACTTTACGGTAGTTAACCTGATCCAGTCCGATCCCATTCATGCTCAAGTTCCAGTAGGAGTGCGATAGGTATCATTTTATCGAGCATGTTAGTGATCAATTAATCAATCAGCTGTCCGCCACTCTGATATCCAATTTGAATGTAGCAAATCTCCCTCCACCAGAATCTTTGCATATAATTTACAAGTAGTGTGAACTTACTCACATGTATTGCGCAGCGTTTAGAGATACTTAAAAAGGCGGAAGTTGAAATAAAATAAGTCCTTCCGTCCAGCGTGAAGTCCACGCAGAGTTAATTTCTTCGGGGTAAAGCAGCTAGTGAGATCGATGGATCTCTTTGTAGATTTTCTTCAGTTCTACCCACTTTCCAAAGGTAAGGACACCCTTGGTCGTGCCGAGTCTCCATTTGATGCCAGAACGGGGATGCCGAGGTCCACGATGGAGGCGGACTCGGCTTCTTCCTATATTACAGTGGAAGAAGTGTTCTTGGCTTTTTTCCTCGCCGCAAGAGCAAGTCATTAGAGCATCTTCGTGTGCGAAACGACGATGACATTGGGTGAAATCTCCGTATCCGAAACGAGCAGCAGTTAACGCCCCAAGTGCACGTCGATTTAAACCTTTCAATTCTAGCGTTATTCCTATACTAAGAATAATTCTGAGTTTCTTGTATCTGTATAGTGCTTCTCGTGCCTAGAAAGTAGTGGCTTACGCCTTATATAGCTGAGCTGTTTTCTTTTTTGCCCTTGCTATGGCTGGAGGTAGATACGGCGCAGTCATTCGACAAGTTGACTTGGCTAGAATATCTGTTGCTTTATTTCCAGGGATTCTGAAGTGTTCGGGGCACCATCGGACGCCAATTATTCATTCCACAGTACAAGATACGCGTTTCCTATTTTGCCAGATGGCTGCTTGCTGCCGGAACTTTGCAATTTGGTAAGAACTCGCCAAAGTTGGCAGTAACAAGAGATGTCGAAAAGCCGCTTCTTGTTTATCTAGATAGATAGTTACATTAGTAGCGTAAAAGGCCATGGGATTGTAGAGAGCAGCTGCGAGGCTCTCTGTTGCTCTAGAAGTTTCTGCATCATACAACTTTGCTGAGAAGCCTAGATGGATGGTGCCGCAAAAAATCTCGTGAGTTATACTGCGTTGTATTGAATATCCGGCTCCTACTCTATCCTTGATATATTTTTTAAATCATTTAATATGTATTCAGCTATAGAGCTCTGACATACGAACGGTGCTATGTATACATGTTGGATGACTCTTTTGACGTTAGAGACACTCATACTCCGGATTTCATTTGCAAATACCACTTTGAGGTATGTTCGCTGACAGAAAAAGTCGACCCTTCTCCGTAAGTACAAACCAGAGGGAATTTTAAAAACTTCTAGTTTTCTAAGCATGCCTTCGTCATCTATATATACCAGACCCACGATAAATGCGGTTATGTTGTGCCGGATTTGAACCAGCGATCTACTGTCTCGAGTAGGATATGTGTCCAAGTATCCAGACTTCGCTTGGCACACCGGCCGTGACAATTAACCACCGCACCATTCAACCATGGCAGCGTCTATAGTGTCGCCTGCACTTTCGCAACATTGTCTTGGCGCACGCACAAAGCTCAATTTGTGAAACTCATTGATAAAATTCCAAATTTCACGCCCGTCGAGATTGTAGCCTCACTATTAAATCATCTTGTAAATCTATTCTGATTTCTCTCACGCCCATTCCAAAGAACTGTCTCCTAGATTTTTGCGACACGCTTTGTTTCCCCTGTTGATTACAAATATCGGCGTGGGCGTGTATTTGGTAATCAACTGAGGCTAGAGAAGGTCGACGAGAGGTTTGATCATTGAAATGAGGATGTACTAGGTCGTACTTATAAACTTGATGAGGCTTATTTGAGAATCGGACTCTTCGGGAGTTAAAATTTGACGTGGTGGAGTAATTTGAATCGTTGCTTCGAGGGCCAACTTGTTCGGTATTGCGAAATTTGACTGAACTTGGCTCTGGGAGAATATTTCAATCCCAGATTCGTAGAGAACACCGCGTACAGGTGTTCAGCCTTGCCCTCCTTTTTTTCTTTTATTTCTTCCTATTTTCGAGTTGGTGAAGGCCTCAGGAAGGAGCGGATAATGGGGCTGAGTAATCAATTGCCTTGAGAAGGGGGTGGTCCCGTACCTTCAGAGCAGCAAGAGCCATACCAGACATTTGTGGACAGTTTCAAATAGCGCTATACAGCAATTGTGCTCTATGATGAAAGTCAGATTCTCCAGACCTCCGGTTCTGGCGTTTCATGTTCCCTAAGTTCCTCACTATCTACAAGAAAATATTGGGAAATATAATGTTTGAATATATCGAAATTTGTTAGTCTCTTTAATGTGGAAACTAGAAGTCCTCTGTAGTCATAGACTCAGATAGGACTATAATAAAATCTAATATAATCTAATCTAATGTTCCCTAAGGGAATGGGTGGGACGTGCCCTCGGGCATCGCCCCCATCCCCACGCACTGACGTCATATGATATCATCAACATCATTACCAACACTTTTTGGGTTGAAGTCGAACTCAGTATTTTGGTCGAAAACTCAGTCGACAGAGATTTCACAACCGCAAAAAATTCGATCAAAAGCTCATCACCATCGACATACTATTCGAGAATGGATTTAGGTCTGTCTAGGGTCGTATCTAAACAACCGATATCTCTCAGACTCTATATATATTTGGGACGAAGTATTTCTCAGGCGATCATACACCAGCGATCCACCATTATACTCGTCACATAACCTACCTACACACGCCCTAATGATGAAAGTCATGATGGAAACGGGATGTGTAGAACGGGGGAAGAAAAGAGAATATACACCGAGGGTATCACACTTTTGCGCGGGATTTCAGATCCCCAATGACGACAACAACCCAACGGTACTGTATGAAGGTGTAAGGCTAAATCAACGATGAGATCTGGGACTACATTTATATTTCGGAATTAATGAGGATGTCAAGAGCTTGGACGCGTAGAGGCCGAGGCTGAGGAATTTGCGCCACGGCGTGTATACAGTGGGTTTTTGGACGGTCTGACTTGATATTATTCAACACATAGGTGAAGTCTGAAGTTGTTCGGTCATTTAGGTGGAGCAAGGTTTATTGTAATTATATGGTAGCTAACATGATCCAGCCTGGCCTCACTCGTGCCCAAGCTCCCGTAGGAGTGCGAGGGGTGCCAATAGCCTAGCACGTTAATGAACAAAAATTCATACGTATAAACATTTGACTCAAGTGGCCAATCGCACGGTAAAACTCAATTTCAAAGCGATGATAGGAATCAAGCTTTGTATGGCTAGCGTGTATATAAAATGGGGAATCCACCTATAAATAGATAAAAGCATCGTGGCTCTCTGATGGTCGGGATAAGTCTTCTACTGAACAATATCGGAATTAATCTTAGCCTTTCATTAAGCAATCTTATGAACCTATTTCTGTGTCTTTAATAAGGGACAAATATACTAAATCGAAGTGCCCAGTGTGCTAGATAGTCATATATTCAAGTAGCACAATAAACCACAGACAAACAGACTAAATCGATGTGTAAGAAGATCAACTATATGATCACAGACCTTCATTTGAGAATATTTAAAGTCGATAAGATTTAAATCTAAATGATAAATATTCACCGATAGCCTTGTTCCGGGATAGAAATTCCAGGTTGAAAAACACGAGGTTAAAAGAAGTGTACAAGGGCTAATTGTTTTCATAAAGGAATTTTTTCGATTTAAATAACATAGTTACAAACAGATTTAAGAGCCTCAAAAGACACCAGCTGGGACTTGTGTAAGCCTGATTAATGACTACAACTATATCAAGCTAGTCTAACCAATCAAAATGAAGAGTTATCCAAGCCAGCGCCTGCAAAGACGAAATAAAAATTACCGACCTCGGACTTCGGGTTAACCGCTTCAAACGTGTGTAAATATAAGAGGCTCTTCTGCCGGCCCCGATATTCCTTGCAGACAATATAAAGCGAGAAAACAGTAGTGGTCATTATGAAGTAGTGTGGGAACATCAATATCATCAAGCGTGTCAGTAAAGTCTATTGAACTTCAGGAATCATCGGAATGTGCATACAAGGAGCCAATTAAAGTTCTAGTAGCTAGATATTGCATAAAATTGCCGTTGCACGGTAACGCCTGCCGGATCACATCATATTATTTTCATCCCTGTCCCAGAGGATTGTGAGAGTAGTGTAATTGGACGATTTGATATTCTAGGATAGGTGAAATCCATGTTGGAAATATTAACTCGTGAATCAGGAACTAATCAGATAGATTTTGAAGTAGTCTTTCATAGTCTGGGAACCAATAGAGAATAAAATTTAAATCAATCAATTCTTAGCTAATTACGATCTTCAGTTCATGATATCCCCTCAGGCTCGACTCAGAATCTTTCTGTAATAGGATCGCAAAGCAACATGCGGACAGCTCATTGTTACAACCAAATGCACTGTAAATGATTGAAGCAACTGGATTTTTCCACAAATCTCCAAGGGTAAAAGAAGAATAGTGTACACACTCACAGGCTCGACTTAACTACAATCAGAATGTGTTGCCTTATTGATAAGGGTCTAATTACAGAATCGACCCTATTAAAAATGCCGAAGTAGATCATCTGGCTTAGACTGGCCTCTAATTTCGTGAAGCCAAGAAGGGTACCAGTTTTGCAGTTTGTGTCCCTCGATTCCAAGCCGTCGTGGGACACCCGCAACAAACTGAGAACGAAAAAGTGCTACCAGGAGTTTAAAGATATGAATTTGGTTGCGATTAATCCGGTCTAACTATGTCTAGTCTCACATTCCTTTCTACTAGTTTGCAGTTTTGTGTCAGGTCGGGCTCATTTTTGATTCTGTGTATGTTGCCTCTTTCTTCTTTCTCCTGCCCCAAATACATTATCGCCTTTCTCTTTGCTTACTATACGATACCTTGTGACTCGGGTGCATAGGGACCAATTACAGGATTAGTACGCATCCCCCAGCTTCTTCAGATGGTGCTGACGCTACCAACCCCTAAACTTCACTCCCCAGCTCAAATTTAAAATTTGCATTTTTTGTTGGTCCGTAGCTGTAATTTCATTGCGGTTGGCCGCTTCTCCGCCGCTAATTGGTTCATGGTGGCCCACACACCAACAATGAGACGATCAGTTTCGGCTCACTTTGCTCTATGGCCGCCCCCTCTCGCTTCCCCCCCCTCACACATGACTTCTCTCTTTTCCTTTCTCGTCTTTCTTGCCTCCGTCAATTTCCGTGGCCCGCGCTTCAACTACTTCTTCCCATATTTCGGTTCGTTTCCTCACGACATCTCACTTCTCCGATTCGTTTCACTGGGTGTTCATTCCACTGGCGTCTGCAATCTCGAGTGGCTCTTTTCTTCTATTCCTCCTTAGTCTCCTTCGTGATTCCTTTATTTCATTCGCACTCTTTCCCATCTCTGCACATCTCGTCGCCCACTGACGCTGCTTAAATTTTCAACAAGTCACGACATTGTTGCGCGCTGTCTCTCCATTCGCCTAGCATTTCCTCACGCTTTTTGCCTGAGGAACAGTAATCGCGCTCTAATACAATCATCGTTATCATCGTAAACGCATTCGCAATAAATTTCTCATCGACGTCTGCCAGTAATCGAGGACATAATTTAATACTTCAAGCCATATACGCCAAGGTACGGTGAATATAGAAGGCGGTTCACGTCGCTCGAGTCCCTGATATCACTAGCGAGGATAAACACCTTTTTGAGAGCTTCCAACGATATAACTGGATTTAAATAAGCATTTCCTGCCAGTTCGTGTATTAAGCCATTCTCATTGAATCCAAGAGACTGCCAATAGTGGTTATCGCGCTTTGCATCAAATTTTTACAGCTCTATCCCTCCTGAAGTCATGTCAGAGAACGGTCCACATCTCGGGGCCCAACTTCCTCCACCACCACAACCTACAGTGGGCGCTCCAGGTTACGATGGTCACAACAATCAGAATAATCCTCAAAATATGCCGCCTCCACCTCTTGCTCCTGTTATCATCCCACCAAACACTAACCCGATCCCCACAGCTATAACTTCACCAATTGGAGAAAACGGCGCCATTATGTCGCCAGATAGTTCGGGGGCTTTCGTTCGTCGGGCTGCTCCTGAACCTAATAAACGAGCTCTCTATGTTGGTGGCCTGGATCCTCGAGTAACTGAGGATGTATTGCGTCAAATTTTTGAAACGACTGGTCACGTACAAAACGTAAAAATTATACCTGATAAAAATGTAGGTCATCCGAATGACTAATACATCCCCATTACCGCTCTTTGCTGATCAGCTAGCACGTTCAGGCCTCTCCATTGACTACCCCTACTTGCCAGGTAATATCAAAAAATACCCATTGAACATTTAGAGACAATACTAATCACAGTACTAGTTTCAGGCCAAAGGATTTAACTATGGTTTCGTAGAGTATGACGATCCTGGTGCGGCTGAAAGAGCGATGCAGACATTAAATGGTCGACGTGTTCATCAAGCAGTAAGCAAAATTACAGATACTGGATAGAAACGCCTAACATATGCAGGAAATCCGTGTTAACTGGGCATACCAGTCAAATACCTCCAATAAAGAAGATACTTCTAATCACTTTCATATTTTTGTTGGTGACCTTTCGAACGAAGTTAACGATGAGGTTTTACTTCAAGCTTTTTCAGCGTTCGGATCTGTGTCAGAAGCACGCGTTATCTGGGACATGAAGACTGGAAGGTCTAGGGGCTATGGATTTGTTGCTTTTCGCGAACGTCAGGATGCCGAGAAAGCCTTGAGCTCAATGGATGGTGAATGGCTTGGATCGCGCGCCATACGCTGTAACTGGGCCAACCAGAAAGGACAACCCTCTATCTCTCAGCAGCAGGCAATGACAGCTGTGGGAATGACACCTACTACCCCTTTTGGGCACCACCACTTTCCTACTCATGGAGTTCAAAGTTATGATATGATTGTTCAACAGACCCCTCAATGGCAGACAACAGTCTATGTCGGAAACCTTACTCCATATACAACTCAAAATGATCTTATACCACTTTTCCACAACTTTGGTTACGTTGTTGAGACGCGTTTTCAGGCTGACCGCGGCTTCGCATTCGTCAAATTGGATACGCATGAAAACGCTGCCATGGCAATCTGTCAACTCAGTGGCTACAACGTAAATGGAAGACCTCTGAAATGTAGTGTATGCAACCTCCACTTTCACCAGAATTCATATTTCATAATTAGCTAACAATAGTCAGTGGGGGAAAGATAAAGCACCCACGCAAGGTGGTTTTGACGCCCCACAGCCAGGCTATAGTCCTCAGTCTACGACCGCTAACTATCCAGCGACATCCTCTGCTTACTTTCCACAGTATGGCGGCCTCCAGCAGAACGGACATCACTCAGCAGGGCCTCTGGCGAATGGTCACACGCCTGGACATTACTCTTCTCAGCAGAGTGGCTATGGCTCCATTCCAGGGCCATCTCCAGGCCATTACAGCAACCACCAAATAGGTTATAATGGCTCGTTTAGTGCCGGGGGCTACAGCCGTGCACAAGCAACAGTAAGTCCTCAATGGAGCGCATCACCAGTTCAAAGCTTTGGAAATGGATATGCTGGATATCAAGGGTAGGAATCTTCATATATCAGACGCATTTGATTGGTCAGCTGTCTCAAAGCTTGCTACATGCGGATTGGTAGCAACTCTACACTTGAGCTCGGATCGTGCTTTTCTGTCTTGTTTATCAGATAAACCATCCCAATCTTTCTCGTGAAATTTCGTTGGGAAATTGTTTTAGGCATAATGTTTTCCACTAGATTATTTCTGTATTGAGTTATTTTCGGGAAGGTATGTTTTCAAGTTGATAAAAGTTATTGTCTTCGTTTTCGTCGACTGTTGGACATCAGGGTATATTCATGCATTGTTGCCTCTCTCATTCGACACTTGTCTTAATGAGTCTACGAAATTTGCTTTAGCGGTTACCCAAATTTATTTATCTTGACGTAGATTAAAGTCGTCAACATGGGCGATCCTCACGCTGAAGATTATTTACCGTTGTGAACACTAATAAAACGCTTCTTAGAATAGAGCAAGTTCATTTGATACAGGTTTGCTCTTCATCATTCAGGTTATCCCTCGCTGGATTTTTATTTCAAGTATACTCATCAATTAATAAGAGACACATCTATGGGTTTTAACATCAATAGATCTGTGTATCCAATAATTTATCGCAAGTCATACAACCTTGGGGCATCTAACTTCCTATGTCATAGTCGTTCCTATGTGAGCAACTAACTCTCCTTGCCGGCTGACTAGTTAGGTTCTACTGTAGTAATTGGGTCTGAGACTATCTAGCACACTAGCTTGCTCTTCGGCCCAGACAACACCTTGTAGACTGCTCCTACCCCTCATGTTGAAGTAAAATCTCTTGGCCACTGCCCGCAAGGGTTGGCCATTCAGCTCAGTGCTTAACTGTGGCATTGAGCTACTTTTCTGCAGAGCCTTCTCAAAAAATAAAAATAGTAGCAACGAAAACTGCGTGCGCAGGGGAAACTCTCAAAAAACCTACAGCTCCAGCCAGACGAGCCCTAGACACCAGGATCACAAGAGGTGCGCATATTCATCTATATCTCCCTTCTACGTAACATTCGAGGACGACTTGATCCAATCCGTCATCTCCGTATCGGGTGCTGGGTACGATCCGGAAACTCATCGGATGGCTTTTCCTCCATGATCAATGGTCAGTGATGAGAAGGGCTCCGATCCTATCATCCGATCTGATCGTGGTTAGCTTCATGATAGTGGTGATGGGGGAATGTGTTGAGAGATGAAGAAGATATAGATGGCGAAAGCGATTGGGAATCCTCGTCGAAGTGAGGACTTTGGTACTCAATCTGTAAAAGGTTTAAAGAATTCAGAAGTACTTGAAAGACGTTAACTGAATAGGAATTGATAATTTTTCCTTGGGAAGCTAATCTGCTTACGACGGCTCCTCTCCTTTTTTTTTTTTTTTTTTTTTTTTTTTTGCATCAGATTTTAATTGCGTATGCAGCTATCTAGCTATGACACAATATCAAAGAAAAGTACAGAAAAGATGACTCAATTTACAAGAGGAGCACTCATGCCTCGGATTTCATTTGCAAGTACCACTGCGAAGTTATGGCGGCTTTTTCTTCACCTCAAGTCAACCCTCATCCGTGAATACCCACTCAAGGGAACGTCTCAAAAACCCTGAGTTATCCAGGCATGCCTCCGTCATTCATCAACTTTTCTCCGCGCGAAATGTGGTCTGAGATGTCTCCTTCCCAAGTGGAGTAGGTGCCCAGGCTACTCAAACTATACCGGAGAACACCACCAGGAGGCGGACCACAGCACCTTTCATCGTCGGCTTGTTTTTATAGTGTCAGCTGCACTCTCGCAAGCGAAGTCTTGGCGCGCACAAAGCTCAATTCGTAAAACTCTTGCCAAAATTCAAAATTCCACGCCCGTCGAAAACGTATCCCTCTTCTGCATCATCTTGTGAACTTGTCCTGATACCTCTCACGTCCATCCCAAAGATCTATCTCCCAGATTTGTGCTCCACGCTTTGCTTCCTCCGTCGGGTATAAATATCGGCGTGGGCGTGTATTTGGTGACCGGCTGAGGCCAGAGAAAGTCGACGAGAGGTGTGGTCATTGAAACGAGGATGTACTAGGTCGTACTTGTAGACTTGATGAAGCTTAGTTGAGGATTGGACTCTTTGGGAGTGAAAGATTGACATGGTGGAGTAATTTGAATTTTTGCCTCGTGGGCCAACTTCTTTGATATTGCGAAATTTGACTGAACTTGGCTCTGGGAGAATATTTCACTCCCAGGTTCGTAGAGAGCACCACTGACAGGTGTTCAGTCTTGCCCTCCGCTCCTCTCCTTTATAGCCTTCTCAGCGTCGCGTTTAAGCTCCCCTCCTAGTCTACCTGAGAATACTCCATTCTCCCCGGCTACCCTCTTTCCTGTGACATCCTCCCCCCCTTAGTACGTACTCCCTTGGGTCCTTCCTTATGCGCAACCTTGCAATCATCCTTATGCAACACTTAGATCCCTCTTTGTGCGTATCCTTGCATTCTTCCCCATGCAACCTTTCGCGTCTCTGTAAGCGCTGCTTCGTTGGCGCTAAAAGATCTAGCCGGGTTGGTCCTAGTGACCAGTCCCAATCCGGGCACAGCCCGTAACACAATCTCGGCTTTGCAGACTCGACAGTGAGAGCTGGAGGTTCTATTTTTTTTTTATCATTTAATGTGTATGCAGCTATCTAGCTATGACACATGACCGGTGCTATGTATACATGATGGATGACTCTTTTGGCGTTAGAGACACTCATACTCTGGATTTCATCCGGAAATACCACTATGAGGTATGCTTGCTTACACAAACAGTTGACCATCCTCCGTAAGTACCCACAAAAGGGAATTTTAAAACCTTTGACTATTCAAGCATGCCTTCGTCATCCATGTATACCAGCGCCGCGAGATAAGTGGTTGTGTTTTGCCGGATTTGAACCAGCGCTCTACTGTCTCAGGTGGGATATGTGTCCCAGTTATCCAGACTCTACTTGGCAGACCGGCCAAGATGATGTACCACCGCACCATCCAACCATGGCAGTATTTATAGTGTCAGCTGCACTCTCGCAACCGAAGTCTTGGCACGCACAAAGCTCAATTCGTGAAACTCATTGATATAATTTCAAATTTCCACGCCCGTTGAGACTGAATCCATCCTCTGCATCATCTCGTGAACTCGTCCTCAATCATCTCACGCCCATCCCAAAGAACAGTCTCCCTGATTTGTGCGCCACGATTTATTTCCTCCGTCGGGTATAAAATCGGTGAGGGCGTGTATTTGGTGGTCTACTGAGGCCAGAAAAGCTCGACGAGAGGTGTGATCATTGGAATGAGGATGTATTAGGTCGTACGTGTAGACTTGATGAGGCTTAGGTAGGATTCGATCTTTTGGGGAGTGAAAATTTGACGTGGTGGAGTAGTTTGAATCATTGCCTCGTGGGCCAACTTGTTCGTTATTGCGAAATTCGACTGAACTTGGCTCTGGGAGAATATTTCACTCCTGGGTTCGTAGAGGACACCGCGTACAGGTGTTCGGTCTTGCCCTCCAGCCGGAGGTTCGTAGTGATACCACTGACAGGTGTGTAATTTTTGCCCCGCTTTCACGTCACAAATCTACCCGGCCTTTAACATGTGGGTCATGGTGGATATATTTCTTCCGGTAGAGGTTAATAATTCAATACATGTACGCGATGTCCTATACGAACTTGGGAGTGAAATATTCTTCCAGAGCCAAGTTCAGTCATATGTCGCAATACCAAACAAGTTGGCCCACGAGGTAATAACTAATGATTCTCCACCCAATCAATCTCTCCTACTCAACGAAATCGATCCCCACCAACACCTCATCAAGTTTACAGGTATGACTTACTACATCCTTCTTTCAATGACCAGACCTCCCTTCAACCTTCTCTGGCCTCAGTTGATCACCAGATACGTTCCAATATTAACATCCGACGGAGGAAACAAAGCGTGGCCCAAAAATTTGGCAGACAGTACTTTGGGATGAACGTGAGAGAAATCATGACAAGTTTACATGGATCACGAAGGCATGCTTGGATAAGCAAAGGTTTTGAATTTCCCTTTGGTGGGTATTTACGGAGGAGGGTCTACTGTTTGTGTAAGCAAACATAACTCATAATGGTATTAGCAAATGAAATCCAGAATATGAGTGTTCACAATGTCAAGAGAGTTATCCAATATGAATACATAGCAGCGGTCACGTGTCATAGCTCAATAGCCGAATACACATTAAATGATTTTAAAAAAACTAGCTGGTTCAGAAGTAGCGATTGGATAAAACCAGACACTAGTTAGGCAATACCGTAGCTTGGAGGAGCACGCCTTCTAGATATTTGCCACGAGTACTATATCCGTTCAAGATGGTGGCATCCCCACATCAAACGAGAGCCGGCAAAGACGAATTCTTCACCTTCCAGTGGTGCCGGTGTAATTGCTCAGTATGCTCTGCATATCTGGGATAGCCAAGAAGAATCGCATCCGAATCGAAGTTGTAAGCAACCTCAAACACATCTCTATTTGACGACTTTTCGACAATGCCTCTCTCATCATTATCATCTGAGTCCTCAACCCATCTCTTACCACGCATCATCTCGCCTCAACGACCAATAAAGAAGTAGCTCCAATTGCATACAGGAGCTTGCCCCATTAATTTCCAGCCATCACTCACTACAAATTTACGACGCTATTTATACCCGCAAGGAGAAAATCAAGTCGAAAAATACAAAGTTGGGGTCTTGGTTTGTGGGGGAGTGATGCTCTAATGATGTCATACATCTTGAGGGGTTAGAGGCGGCTGAGATGTGGAGCGAGAGGGGGAACAAGTCTCAAAAGAGCATGCCGGGACTGATATTTTCGAGGACTTTTCAACTTTGGATTTTTTGTGGGTGCCAAGACTAAGATTACGGCTAATTAGCCAGGAGGGCTTCTATTGTCGATGAGTCAACGGCGCTCCCCAGCGCCCTGGATAGCACAAAAGAAGTTGGGCTAAGCTATCGTACAGCAATCACGCTCTGT